AACAAAAGATATCAAAAGTTAAAACCATATTAAAGAAAAATAATTGAAACAACACAAGTCCAACACATAAATATGAAATAGTTTAACTAAATGATAAAAAAACAACATTCAAAGCCAAATGTTTAGGAAAAAAAATATAAATGTTTTATAATTAGGTTTTAAAAATTATTAATAATAATAAACAAATCTTTAATTTTTCAAAATATTTATATAATTTGTTCCAAATCAAATCACATTTTCGTCGCGTTTTCAAAATGAACACAACCTTTCTATAGTGTTTTCAAAATGGAAACGACGTTTCCATCGCGTTTTCAAATTAAGAATTTTAAGAAACGCGTTTCTGTTTTCGAAACGTTTGTGAAACGGGAAACGAACCTTGGTCGGAGTTTTCACGCAATCTATGTAGTTACACAATTCACTAGTCAATATATCTAATCAAAAATTAAAGTAGATGATATTTCTTTCCTTTTTAAAGATATAATTAATTATTTGTTTGAATGGCTGTCCAAAAATTGAAAATTTGATCAAGTAAGTAGTAAAATTATAATCAAATGTTTAGTTACATGTAAAAGAATATGGTAATACATATAAATATAAATTCTTTTCTACGAAACCTTTTTTTTTATACTTTCAAAATCTCATTAGTTTAGGAAATTGGCAAAAATAACACAAAAAATTATAATCTAAAAATTAACCAAAACTCCCACATCCAATGGTCATGAGTTTTCTACATACCCCATTTTTACTTACTTTTTAGTTTTTTTTTTCGTTATACACCAAAATGACCCTTAGTTTAAAAGTTGATTTTTGACTTCAATCAATAATCCTCTATATATTAATTGAGGAGACACTAGAAAAAAAAATCATATGTGTCAATCAAAGAGCAACTTAAAGGACATATCATTTAATTAAACCAATCAAAACATTTCAATTAAAAGTATATTCCATTGTAAAAATTCTCTACATATTTTCATTAACTTTTAACATAAATTAACTAATACATGTTTTAAAACTTTAAACCCAACTAAATATAATATTTTAGACTTACCATAGCATCTATTTTTCTGGAATATTAACAAGCTTTCGTTAATGTAGTTATAACAATTTTTTGTTGTATATTTTATATATTTAAATTAGTATACCCTACTAATATTTTTATTATGATATGTATTCTGTTTGTTATCTCTCACAAATTTATATATCGTATATTATATAATTTACACAAATAACAGATATCAATTTTATATTTAAAAAATATTAAAATAAATAATATTTACATATGTTTGATTCATTTTATGCATAATGCATATCATTTTTTTACGTTTACAAATATTAAAAATCATTTGACAAAAAAAAACAAATATTAGAAATCATATGTTTTATTATATACGTTTAACTATTTAAAAAAATTATATATGTTAAAATCGATTAATTAATTTTTTAAATTATTTAAATCAGTGCTTAGGCACGGGTTAAAATCTAGTATGCTTATAAAAATGAATGGCATAATTAAACTTTATTAACTGATAAAATAACACGCGTGAAGTTATAATAAAATGACGTATGTAGTAGTTATATCGTTATACAATAAAAAAGAAGGGGTTTTCGGTAAATTAAACTAAGCCCTTATCTCAATTCCGATCCTCCTTTCTAGCTGCCGTCTTCGTACCCATTCATAAGAAAAAACAAGACGCAATCTTTTCTTGTCTCTTCCAATCTTCAATTCTTACACAAATCCAATCGCAAAAATTCGATCTTTTGATTAGATAATTTAGATATCGATTATAAAAATCGAACCTTTTTTCTTCGTAAAACTTGCGACGGATTTTGTGTTTTTTTTTCTTTTATGGTTTTGATTCCCATAAGAACCCAATCGTTGATTTCATATTTTCTGTTACTGAATTTGATCCAATCTCTACCCGACCCGGAAGCCATGAGAGTCCACCCAGTTCCCAGAAGGCTTAACAATACCCTAATCCATCATCATCATCGTAACCCGACCCGAGAACCCGGAAAGAATCTCCGGCGTTTACCACATATCTTCAACCGTGTTCTTGAGCTACCATTAAGGTCCGAAGCCGATGTAACGGTGGAGGAGAAATCCGATTGTTTCAGATTCGTGGCGGAGACTGACGGAATCTGCGGCGGAGAAGAAATGAGGGCTTACATGGTGGAGATCCATCCGGGGATTACCAAAATCGTTGTTAGGACAAACGGGTCGTCTTCTTTGGGTTTGTCTTTGGACGAGTTAGAGCTTGACGTGTGGCGTTTTAGGTTACCGGAATCTACTAGGCCTGAGCATGTTACGGTGGCTTGTGTTGACGGAGCTTTGATTGTTACGGTGCCTAAGATTCCAGAGGAAGAAGATGATGATGGTGGTGGAGATTTTGGACAAGGTATGGGAAGTGGAAGGCTAGTTCTTGTTCAGTAATGTTTGGTTTCTGAACAAAAAAATACAGTTTATGTAATGAAATATGTTTAAAATGTTTCTGAGTTACGATCAAGAAACGTTAAGAGAAGAAGAAATCTCCAATCTTCCTCTGTTTCGGTCGATATTGTAGCCTTCTTTTTTTTTATGGCAATTTAGCAGAAAATAAATGAAAGTTTGAGACTTTTATCTCACAGTTTGGTCGGAGAAACAAAAGAACATGTGTTGTGTAGCAGCAGCAGCCAAAAGCCGTCCAACTTTTATAGACTAACAGGAAATTTCCACAGTACATTAAAAGTCTAAAACAGATTACAAGAATCTGCAACATAATCCCCAAAAAAAAACCGCGACATTACACAACAAGACTGGCTTAAAGTTAATAAGATACACGATGAGGGCGAGATTTAGAGGAAGAAGCCTTTGAGAGGAGTGAATTTGGAGAGGATCTCTGCTTCGCGTTTAAGAGCATTATCCTTCTTACATTCCCATTCAGGTTTCTTCGAATTAGCTGACTGAACTTCCTTCACCACATTGGGGATCGAGTTCGCCACCATTTTCTGTCCGTAGCTCAGATCGACCTTCTCTTTCTCCTTGTTCCCTATGTACCGCTTCAACTCAGACCGTCTAGCTTGAAGCTGAGCGATCTGGTCATCGATCTGGCGGATTGTTTCAGAGTTTGTGTCTACTTCCATTTGGATACTCCCTAATTTTTCCTTCAGCTCGCTGTATTCGTACTTAAGCGATGCTACTTTGGCTTTGTTAAGCTCCAGCGCAGAGAAGAACCTATCTGCTTCTTCAATCACTCCTTTGTTCTCCTGGAACACTTCGCTGAAAGTTGGAATCTCTTCGATAAGCTTCAACCTCACTATCTCTTCAGCGGAAAGGTTGGGATCTTTCCTCAGTTTAGTTGCCAATGCTGCTATCTCTGCAGCATCCTGGGAGAGGAACAAAGTAGGGAAATCCTTCTCCAGAAGGGATGAAATCTTCATTCGTGCTTCAGCCCATTCGTATTCTCTCATTGGAGAGCTCACAGTAACAAGAACAGACGAGTCTCGCCCAACCTCTTCTGGAGGCTGCTGAAGAAGGTTATCAAGAGAGTTCAGGTAGCTGTCAAACTCTTCTGGGTTAACATCGATAGGCGAGTGCGAGACCGCAAGAACACCATTCATAGGAGAGACATAGATATGAGGAATCGAAACATCTTCATCTTCATAGTGAACTTTGCGTTTCTTTCTCCTGCCACTAGTGTTTGGTGCAGTCGCTGGTTCACTTTCCTCCTCGTTCAGGAAGTTCAAGTCCACAGCACCACCACGCTGCTGGCTCGAGGGGCGTCTTGCAGATTGCCGAGCTGGTTTAGGTTTGGTGGAAGATTGCGGTCCAGTGGCAGGAGTTGTGGCTCCTTTCTTCTTCTTGTTGCTGTTACCTCGGGGAGTTGCTTTAGGTTTCTCTTCAACAGGTTCATAAGTCTGTGTCGGCATTGGTTTTCTCTTCCTCTGACTGTATCGGGAATTTCCTTCTTTTTTCCCAACCTGAGCATTCTCATCATTCGGGTCAGCCTCGGTCTGTACTTCCTTCGGTGTCTCCTCAAAAAGAGACGCAGCATCAACTACAAAAGAAAGGAAACCTCATTACCAAGAAAAGTATGACAAACGATGGTAATACATATCAGAAAGAGTAATATCACTGATTACATTCATCCATGAAAAGAGAAAGATACGAATTTCTGGAAATCTCGACCTTACTTGCAAAGCTATCAAAAGAAGAATTATATAGGTATATCTTACCTTTATTTGCAGGCTGGAAGAGAGCAGGAATCTTCCAGCTAAAAGACGCAAAGAATGCATCAGCATCCATGCCCGGGAAATTGGATTGGATATAACGAGCAAGAGTGTTTTTGCTTGCGAAAGACTTTGGGACATTCTTTTGCTGCAGCCTTTGAGGAAGAATCAGAAACCTATCCTGATGATACCCAGTAGCAGTCACTCTCCTCCCGACTCTCCAAGTCCAAAAATCACCAGGGCTTGGCCAATCAACAGGGGCATATGGCAGACCTTGACCAGTTGAAACAGGTGGAATCGCTGGAAGTTGGTTGAGATCAGTTTCCCCGTGAGTGAACGAGCTGTTGTCTACGCTTCTATTTCCCTTTTCCTTCGCCTGAAAAGGCTCTGGCTCTTCAATGGCCTCCTCCCTGTTGAAACCGTTTTCCCAGAAGTCATCTTTCTCTTGCTGAGTGGTTTCAAACGGATCTGGTTCATTTCCTCGGTACGTTGAGAGCGGTACAGGTTCAGTGTCCTGGTAAGTACTGATTGGGACTGGTTCGGTATCAAACCTGCATGGAAATTAGCACTAGATGAGCTAAAGAGACGTGGATTTGAAATGCAGTGTAATAAAAACAACACTCGTAACCACAAATCATCTGCCTTTTTCGATAGCACCAATAAACATCAATGTAAACAATTTGAAATGCACACAATCGTCAACGCTAAAGACACAAGCTACCTTGTAGCAGCAGTTAGTTACATGAACCCTAGCTTTGGCTCAGCCCATGCGTATTCCCCATACTCATATCTTTTCAAAACACAAGATTTTTCCACTACACAAATTGTGCTCTAAAACACACAGAATTATTGGTTCTTAGGACATAATTGTACAAAGGTATTTGCTTCACACTGCAATCCAAGACTAAAAGAAGGAAAACTGGTCTCAATTTCCGACATTAAAATCCACATAAAACTCATATTTGTTAAAGGAATCAGAGCATAGGCAAACACACAGGACAACCAAAAAGCAAAACACAAGGAAATGATCACAATTGTGTAATTGGGTTTTAAGGAAATTACCCAGGAGGGGTTGGACCGATCTCTTGCTGCATATCAATCGGAGAGAAAAACGGAGAAGACATGCCCACTCAAACCCTAAAATCACCTGCAC